AATGGAAAGATAATCATACTAATTGTGTATGTCAACAATAAAATTCTCATCAGAGATGACATATATGAAATAAACCGATTGAAGGCTTCTCTCACATTAGTTTTTTGGATCAATTGACTTATAATTTCTGAGGCATTTCCTTAGCATGGATGTTGCTAGATCGAAGAAAGGTATTGTTTCTTCCCGATGAAAATATGTTCTTGATCTTTAAGAAGAAACTAGGATGACTGGTTGTAGGCCTGTAGACACTTCAGTTGATCCCAATCAAAAACCGGGAGATGACAAGAAAGTTGACCAATGCTCGATATCAAAAGTTAGTAGGAAAGTTGATCTACTTATCATATACACAGTCATATATCACATTTGTTGTAAGTTTGGTAAGTCAATTTATGCATTTTGAAGAAGTTAACAAAATTCTCAAATACCTAAAAAGTATAATGGATAAGAGTTTACTTTTTTAGAGAATCATACAATAGAACATAGAGACATGCACCGACGTAGATTGGGTTGACTCAGTTGTTGACAAGAAATCAATATCTGGATAATGTACATATATATGAAGAAATCTAATTACATGGTGAAGAAACAAAATGTGGTAGCAAGGAGTAGCGTCGAGACAGAAGATTAAGCTATGACAAATAGAGTATGTGAGATGTTATGGCTGAAGAGAATTCTTGAAGAGCTACAGATCCCGATAAACATGCCAATGAATTTATATTGTGACAATAAAGCTACCATAAGCATTGCAAAAAATCAACTATAACATGATCAAATAAAATATGTGGAGATTAGTATACACTTCATAAAGGAAAGGATTGATTTTGGAGTTATTTGCATGCCTTTCGCTTAAATAGCGCAACAAATAACAGACAACTTCACCAAAGGACTTTTCAGGCCAAGTTTAGAGTTTCTTGTAAGCAAGTTAAGCATGATTGATATCTATGCGCCAACTTAGGAGGGAGGGTGTTGAAATTTTAGGAAGTTTTGTTTTTGTATATTATATTATTAGATTTTTTCTATTTCTATAATATAGCATTATTGGTATGTCATAATTGATGTTTCTTTCTTTTATTATGGGGAGTTTTAATTGATGTTATTATGTTCCCAATATGGGATTCATCCCCCCATTTATGTTGTAATTATTTTCTATGAAATTAAAGAGGAATTATTATTTTTTCTCCTAAAAATATTATACATTACCAATCATGTAAACTCATCCACCTTCCTCTAGCACTATATCTCGACATTGCTTTAATTATAAACCTTTGAAGCGTTTAGACAATATTACCTTTGAAATCACTTTTTAGATTGTGATTTTTTCCTATTGGTCAAACAAGCTGGAATACATTTTCATTTAAGTTATACTTTTACTGTTGAGCCTTTTGAATTAATACACTGATACTTATGGAGCACATAAAGTTTCATTTTACTCATAAGCAAATTATTTCTTGATTATTTTTTATGATTTTGCACATTTTAAATGAATCTATTTAATGCATTTTAATTTAAAACACAAACTTATTAAAACCATTTTTTTCTATCAAGTTGAAAGGCCCAATTGCACACAAATTGATAATGTGAATAAGTCTGAGTATATCATCCCTTCATTATAAAGCAGAGTATCATTTAGCAACATCCAAGCATTTTAATGCCACAACAAAATGTGATAGAAAGCAAAAACAACATTCTTAACATTGCTCGCATATTTAGGTTTCAAGCTCACATTCTTCTTATTTTTTTTGGGAGAAAGTGCTTTAACAACTACTTATCTTACCAATATATTATCCAATCTGCTTTTCAATAAACCACATTTGAAAAGCTTTATAGTCAAATCATCACATATGATCATTTGTATGTATTTAGATGCCTTTATGCTATTAACATCAAAACCCACACATAAACATAATCAACTTTTGAAAAGTGCATTTTTATTGGATATCTACCTATCAAAAAGCTTATTAAATAAATGACTTGATCAACAAACTATTTTTCTCCAACCATCATATCTTACATAATAAAAAATCTGAGAAGTTTCGAATGCACAACACCCTTCAAAATTTTATTTACTAAAATTTATTATAAACAAATTAACCTGCCTCGAGGCATACGTGTCACCTTGCTAAGACAAAATGCCTTGGATCTGATTTTGCCTATTTAAATTTTCCTTGCCATTATCCCTACTAGAAGTTGATCAGTTCATCAAATTGAAGTCTACTACAATTTAAAATGTAGAGTTTCAATAGTCCAAGGTGGATTACACATTGTTTGCATGATTATTTGAAATTTGATTCAAAATCATGGTTATTTATACTAACCATATAGTTATTACTAAAAATGATCCAACTATAATAGCTAATTAACATTTTCTCACAAAATCAATTTTGGATTCAATGTCTTGAAAAGCTTAAATAATTTTTACAGGTTATGGGAGCACAAACCTATCAATGAATTTCCATTTCACGAAGGAAGTACGCATTGAACATCCTTAATAGCATAAGCTTACTTTGTGCAACTCCGACAACTTAAGGAATAAATCTTAAGCTCGGGCCTACTGATAGTCATCACCTATAAAATCCATTAACATATAGAAGGTTTGTTGGATGCCTCATTTATCATAAGATCATAAAGCAAAACATTTCATATCCCTTTTATGTTTTCACCTAATTCATGCAGGAGCCGCGAATGCAACATCTTGATGTAGCAATCCACATTTTATGATATTCCAAGGCTATTTTTGAGCAAGCATTGTTGTTTCCAACTCCAAAAATTTTAAGACTAGGTGGGTTTTTGATTTGAAGGTCGAGCAAATTATTTGACTGCAGAAATAACTATTGCTGTTTTTCTTAGGAGGTCACTCATGTCTTGGAAAACTACAAAAGAAATTCATATATTACGTTCACAGGAAGAAAACAAACATAGACCTATGACTTCCATCACTTAAAAATTCACATGGTTCAAATATCTTCTTCACGTTTTGCAGGGTAACAATGGTAACAATTTGGAAAATCCAGGAAGTGTTGTGATGATTAGCTAGTATGTTGTCAAGCACTTGCATCAAACCCTATCTTTTATGAGTGAAATAAATGCATGGAGTTGCATTGTCCTATGGTTAGAGACAAATTCATCCTCCCAAAGTGGAATGGACCTTCGTCGCAACTTCACACTTATATGTTGCTGATATGTTTCACTAAACCATTGGGAAAGTCATTGTTTCATTCTCATCTTGGCTAGTAAAGCATTTTGCATGTCCATACTCCAACTTTAGGGGGAGTTAAAATTGAGATATGAAGAATACTTTCCATCAAATATATTAAGGAGCTGTTTGGTAGCATGAATTGAGCAAAATTTGACATATACCTTGCCAAACAACAAAAATGACAATTTCATATCCTACAAAATCTTAAATAATGTTTCTAGGTCATATTGATTTAAACTTTGAACTTAACAAATCCCATTGGAAGGCAAATTTTACAAGATTTGGATGAGCTAAAAACATTTAAAATGGGATGAGAGAAATGGGGAGAAAGACAAGGGTTACCTTCCTCGATAGTTTTGAGGTAGGAAAGGAGGAGAAAGTTGGGAGTTTTGGTTGTCCTATATGTCGCAATCCCATCGTTTGCTTCTCAACTAGCTCCAGTTGCAATTGTATTGCGAGGGCTTCAGGTAGGGGTGTTAACGAGTCGAGTCATGCTCGAGCCACCCTCGGCTGGAGCTTGAGCTTAACTCTGTGAACTCAAGCTGACTTATAAGCCCGCTTTGTTTAGTATGAAAGAGAAGAAGTTAATTAATTTGAACTAGTATTATAATGAAATGACAAATAGAATGAGATTTAGGAGAAAATCAATAAAAAAATAATATGATATAAAATATTAAATATCATTTTTTATATTTTTAATAATTTAAAGAAATTTTTTTTAAAATTAATATATTTTAAGTATATTTTTTATTAATTATTTTTGTAACTGAGCCAGCTCACAAGCTAACAAGTCGAGTGGGGTTGCCTTGAGCTTGACTTGTTAGCTTATCTAGCGCAATTCATGAGCAACTTATCGAGTTGAGCCCGAGTTGGCTCACAAGTCAGCTTGGCTCACTTACATAACTAATTTCGGGCACTAGAGAGGGAGTGGGAAGAATCTCAAGAGTTATTATGTTTTTAATTTTTTCCCCTTTATCTTAATAGACACTGTTTCTATTTTCTTCCATCCCCTTTTTTCTCCATCTGTGATAGCAAGCTTTGCGCACCATGGATTTTTTAGTTATAAAAGATCTCCTTACTTTTATTCTTATTTGTGTTTGCTTGTTTTCTGTGACAGTTTTTATTTCTGATAACTTTTTATCACACTTCTACTAGTAAATTTTGTCTATTTTGGGGTTGGTTGGTTGCAATTATGTTTCATCATAAACCAGCTGATCCTATCACTTGATTGAAACAACTAAAAAATTGAGGTTTTTGTTCAATGAATGGCATGGTTCTTGATCCAATTCAGAATATAGAATTTTCTTCTATTCTATTTTGGCTATCATATAAATTTCTAGCCATTATTGCAAATAAAAACCACAGATTGTCACCTACTATAACGTTTTTATTTTTATTTGAAGTCGATTATCACCTATTATAATTTTTTTCCTTTCAGTGTTGCAATTTGGTTCACGGAAATGAACGAATTTCTGATGTCAACATGCAACTAGAAGCTTTGTTCGTGTATTAACATTTCAACTTCATGAGATTTGATGAAGCCCTTTGTCACCAATCTTCTGAACCTTTCTTTATGCTGATTGTATTCAATTCATTGCAATTTATCATTTAGGTTGATTACTGACGATAGGTAGCAACCCAGTTTGCCACTTATAATGTTCCTTTTATATGGAGCTATTTGACAAAGTTCCTTATGCCTAAATATTGTCGGAGCTCGCGGATAGCAAATAGACACAAACAACCGAAACTTCAATCAAAAGAGGAAAATAATGGCGACACAACAACGGAAGAAGAAATAAATTACCAAAATTTTCGCCAAAATTGGTGCATATTTCGGCACGGATGGAGTGATTGCCGTCGGCGATTCCGATAACCTCGACGTAGTGGGGGAGAGGGATGCTCTGCAGATCGGCCCCCTTCACCGTTAGCTGCTGGCCATCAGTAGATTGTCCAATCATAACGCCGCCTTCGATCCTCGTTACTTGTAGCACAATGCGAACCCGCCTGCCAACGTGCATCTTCAGAAGCTCCGCGTTCACGAACACTGCAGGGCTCGACGTATCCATTGGTTCTCCAGAGTGATCGAACTGAATGGCCTGTCCTAATTAAGAAACAAGCGAGAGGACTCAGAGGAGACGGAGTGAAGAACTGCGAAGGAGACTAGAGCAGGTGGTTTAAATCCGCTAGGGTTTTGGTCCGCCGCGAAATCCCATCGGCGGGAAAAATATCGTTCTACCGCCAAAGCACCCAACAAACAGCCTACAAATCAACGTGAAAAGTTTACATAGAATATGACAATTCTTTTTTGTGTTTACATATTTACTCTCAAAGTTTGATATTTGAAGTTATGAGTTCAATGCTTCGAAAGCTGGTTTGACTGATTCGACTCCGAACTGGTGGCTAGTCCGGGTGAAAATCAATTTAGGTTCTTGAACAATTCAAAGACCGCAAAATCAATGTTTTGAAAATAGTCATATCGGGTTCAGGACAGTTCTAATTTCATTAGTAAATCCCATAAATCCCTATTGTTATCCTTCTCTCTTCAAGTGTGAGACTTCAAGTGAGTGGGAGATTAGGAGTTTGTTGTTCACCGCCTTTCAGCACCTTCTAACATTGTTTGAAGCCCTTCACCAGCAGCTCCTATAGCTTGTATGCCATTCACCACATTCACAGTTGATTGTCGATTATTCATTAATAATGTTTACATATGTTTTTTTTTTTTTTTGGTTTTCTAGTTTACATTTGCTACTATCTTTAGTCTTATAGGAGAGATTTGGTATTAAATATGCTCATATACATTAAACCTTTCATTTTACTTGAAGTGTGATTGTGCTCCTCTAATTTGTTGCATTAGTTAAGTAACTCGTATAAAACTTTCCATGTTTTTGTTTTAACCAAGCTTTAGTAATTTCTCATAATTTATTAAAACTGCTAGATTAGAGCTAGTTAGTTTCAACTAGTTTGCTGAATTTCAACATGTTACTACTTGTTATATATGTAAGATGTTAAGAACATCTTCCCGATTTCATTATGGCCCCGCCAATAATTATCTCTGTATATCCCTTTAAACCGAGTTATTAGTTATCTCTTTCTAAATTAGAGTTTCTTCATTGTGTGTAGCTTGTAACAACACCTACAACAAGTGTTTGCTTTACACACTCATTTGCAAATAAAATCAGTACCATCTAATAACAACTAATTAATCTTGGCCATTCCTCTTGTAACCAACTATAAACTCACCTATGCTTTATATGTCGCTTTACTGTACCAAAAACTTAAGGAGGGTTTTAATGAAAAGCTACCAACCTTCTTCTTTTTCTCTCCTTCTCGATACTCTTCATGGTATCAGAGCTACCGTAGCCTCATGACACTCCCCCTCCTCCCTCTAGCATGGCATCGTCCTCCACCGCCTCCTCCAGTGGAAACCCCATAAATCAACTTACCCCTATGTCGATCAACAACCTAATACCTAACCAACTACACTTCATCTTGAACAACATCCGCAGCCTTTTTTTCCACCCAACTCACCCCCGACAACACCCGACTTGAAAGACACAAATCCTCAAACTATTTTGAGCAAATGCGTATGATAGCATCCTCAATGGCTCCTGCTCCTGTCTGACAAAGCACACACAGTATTCCCCTTCTTAATTCTGATTTCACAAAGTGGATGTTGATAGATCAAAACCTAGCAAGATTTCTCTTAGTCCTTATCTATTCATCCATTCTCCCATATGTAATACCTTGAGACACTTGCCATGATATATGGACAACAATTGAACACTGACTCCAATCCTCTGAATGCTCCAGTATTATCCAACTAAAGAACAAGCTCCACAACCTCAGTATGTTAAATAAACTCATGACCTAATATTTATACAAAATCAAAGCCAAGGTCGACACTCTCGCACCGCCAGAGCTTGCCTAAATCTGGAGAATATCATTCACGCAACCTTTAAAGGATTTCTCTCTACCTATCAAGCCTTCAAAATAAAAATTCACACAAACCTTCAACCAATCCCACTCGATGATCTCTACACACTACTATGCAGTGAAGAGATCAATCTCATAAATGAAACTGCTGAGGAATCATCACCTTCCACTATTCTTGATGTCTTCCGAGGCCAAGGAAGAAACCACAACACCTCCTACACATCCAACGACAACTAAAATAGTTTTTCCTCTCGCTTAAACCAAAGTACCCACAATTCCAATCGCATCAACAAAGTCGCTTCAATTTGCTAAATCTGCCACAAAAATGGACATGAAGCCTTCATGTGTTGGTTCTACCATGACAAATCAAACCAACCTTCTAAATCACTAATCTCCTCAAACTCTGACTCCGCTGATGGCAAATGGCATCTTGATAGTGTTGCTACTGAGAACCTAACTGTTGAATTGAACCATCTCATACAAGCTCAACTACAAAAAAGACAACACCATCATTGTTGGGAATGGACAACAACTCCACATTGCACAAGTAGGCCAAGGGATCCTGCCCACCCGCAATGAGTAAGCTCCAGTTACTCCAACTACATCACATTCCCATCTTAGCTTATAACATCATCTTTGTTCATAAACTAACCAAATCTAACTCCTGCTCTATCACTTTCACCTTTGATGGCTATCACATCACCAACCAAAATAAAATCACATCATCCTTAAAGGCCCACACATTTTTGGTCTCTACCCCATCCATCCATCCATCCATCCATCCATCAAGTGGTAATCAACACCACTTGCTCTAATTTTGGATCAACCCATTCCACAACTATAGCACCAACGACTTGGACATCCATCACCCCAATAACAATCAACAATTGCCTCCAGAAATCCCTTTTTTATGCAATCTTCTAAATACTTACATTTTCATTCATGCAAAGTACCAAAGAGTTACAAACTTCCTTTTTTTTATATCTACAACTAAGTCTTCCTCTCTACTAGAACTAATTAATATCAATGTGTGGGGATCTTCTCTTACTTTATCTCTACAAGCTTAAAAATACTATTTGGTTTTTGTTGATAAACATTCTCGATATAATTGGGTCTATCTTCTTCACAACAAAAATGATGCATCCACTAAATTACTTGAATTCAAAACAATATTTGAAAATCAATTTACATTTAAAATAAAACAACTTTGCACAGACGGTGACAAATAATACATCAACACCATCTTCGACACCATCCTTAAATAAGATTGCATCGTACATCAATACACTGATCCCTACACTCCCGAACAATACTGAATCATCGAGTGCAAGCACTGCCACCTCATCGAGACAGATTGTACTTTGATAACCAACGCCTCTCTCCCTCTCACTTATGGGCCAATACATTGCTTATCGCCACCTATATCATTAACCACCTGCCTTCCACTACCACTAACTCCAAATCTCCATATGAACTACTTCATCATCGCCAACTATCTTATAAACAAATCAAATTATTTAGCTGCCTATGCTACCCATGGATCCCATCATATACTAACCATAAACTTGCTCCACTATCCATACAATGTATATTTTTATGTTACATCTCCTCTTAAAAAGGATATTGTTTCCTTGATCCTAACACCAATATAATATACATATCTCCCCACGTTCTCTTCAATGAACAAACATTTCCCTTCAACCAAATAAACACCAACTCCACCCAATTACCATCACCACCACCTACTCTTCTCCCACTCCTACTCGCTCTAATCACAATGCTACCAATCAACCCCACCATACAAGCTACCCGGTCCAATACAACCCCCCACAAACAATACTACCGACCACAAATCTTATACCCACTCACACCTCTACACCACCAAATCAGTCCACACTTATAACTTCTTCCATATTTCCCCATAATACTTGTCATCATCCCATGCAAACACACCTCAAAACCAGCTCTCTAAAACCCCGTCAAATACTCAACCTCACTCATCAATCTCAAACCGAACCAACACACCACTCCTCCATCATCAAACATAAACACTGCCATGTAGCTATGTCCAGTGAATTCAAGCCCTACAATCTCAAGGTACATGGTCACTCATCTCACCGTCAACACACCAAATGTCCTTGGATGCAAATGGACCTTTCACACCAAATCAATGCTGACAGATCTTTATCTCGCCAGAAAGCTCACTTGGTTGCTCAAGGCTTTAAGCAACAACACACTCTTGATTGCATCGAAACATTCAAATAAGTTGCCAAACTAACAAACATTTGAGTTTTCATTATACTTAGCCTCACCCAAAATTGGATATATCTCCAACTTGAAGTCTCCAATGTATTCATCCCGATCATCTAATAGAAACCATTCATATTTCACAACCCCAAGGCTTCGTCGATGCAACTTATGCTCATCAGGTTTGTCTCATAAAGAAAGCCCTTTGCATACTCAAATAAGCACCAAGCTAATGGTTTTCTACAATCTCCACCTACCTTCAAACAATCGGCTTTCAGCTTAGCTCCGTTGAGCCCTCGCTCTTTTGTCTCCATAAAAATCTCAACCACCTCTACACGCTAATATATGTCATTGATCTAATCCTCATTAGAAAAAAATTTACCCTCATCTAATCTACTATTCATGAACTCTAAGCCCAATTCCACATGAAAATTTTAGGACATCTATCTCACTTTCTATGACATTCACTTATCCCAATAACACTATGCCATTGATATACTCATCATCGCTGGCATGACCAACTCTAAACCAGTAAAAAATCCATGCCCATCCAAACAATCCACAACACCTCTCGATATCAATCCCATGTTAAACCCCACTCTCCACTGCAAACTTGTAGGCTCCCTTCCACACTTAGCCTACCCTAACATCTCCTTTGTGGTCAACCTCACCTCCCAACACACACATTCATCCACACAATTCAACTTTCATCATCTCAAATGAATCCTACACTACATTAATGGCACCAAATCAGTTGGCCTCCCATCGATCAGACACATCTCACATTTATAGCCTACACTGACTCAGACTAGGTAGGGAATCTCACCGATCACGAATCCATCTCTAGCTACTATGGGTTCCTTGGAGGACTCTCATCCCCTAGTTAGCCAAGAGACAAGTGACCATTGCACGCTTTTCTACCCAATTCGAATACTGATCTCTTGCCTTGATAGTTGCAGGCCTCATCTGGCTTTCCATTCTACTAATCAACCTCCATACACCTCAAACCCATATGATAATTCTCTACTGGAACAACAAATCAACCATTGTTCTCGCCAACAACCTAGTCTTCCATGCTTGCACCAAATACATTGAGGTTGACTCACTTC